CTTTTGTTGCTTTTTTTCCTTGATTATTTGAAAAATAATAAACAAGCCAAAGAGAACTATCCTAAAAATTAAATGAATTAAGAAAAAGTTGCAAAATGAGTATTGTTTAATTTTATAGCTCTTGAGTTACAGAGCAGAGCCAGTAAATACATCTTGAGTCAAATGTACTTACATTATTAATACTCAGATTGTTTTATAATTTAWTTTTAGCCCAATAGAAAATCCTTCCTGTTTGCATTAAAATTGAAAATAAGCTGAACAACTAAGCTGAAAAGGAGCATAAAAGATATGGTTACCAGTTAAAGGCAGCAAAAGTTCAGCTAGATATAAATGCTTAAAATGGATGTYATTTTATGCGTTTTCCATGCATTTAAAAGACAATATAGAGTGACTAGACTAAATCCTTTGTTTTAATTTGTAGCAGAGTTCGACTGACGCCTGTCACTTTAAATTATTCAAGTGTTTAAGATGAAGCTGGGACTTATTGGTGAAGAGGACGGGAACACTAACTTCTTATAGAATGTCCTATTTTGGTCCTGATGTGTATTTTTAAAGCAGGCTGTGAGTTATGAGGAAACCATCTTGTGGAATTTTGCTGAATGATAAAAATGTTACTCAAAAATAGCCTGACTTGAAGTCTCAGGAAGGAAAAATCCTCRTAAACAAAGTGGCACCGTGGCTTTTTTTAATGGTTGGTAATTGATTTGAAGTTTCTCTTTAAAGTTACATTCATGCCTTGGACTGCATGTCCGTGCAGTGAAACAAATCATGAAATGTTTGGATGTTAAAATGAAGGGGAAAAAATGAGATTGGAGGCTGAGTGAAAGCAAACACATCACACACCACATCGGTTCAGTGCGCAGAGCTTGAGGTTCCTTCCCAGATGGCAGCTGTTAACTTTTGCTCACACGCACAGCTGATTGGAAACACATTGAGTCTGGGGCTGCTGCGCACGCATGCACTCACGCAAACGCGCACAGCAAAACAGGAATAGAGTGCGATACGCACGCAGATGCATACCATACAGAAAAACAAAGCCTGAACTTTGGGATCTGGCACGCAAGCGCACCAAACGCCACTGGTTGAGGCGCGCGGATGGTTCCTGTGAAGGCAACGGTTTCAGAAAGGCTAAAAAAAGGTGATTCTGACCCAGAATGCCGCTGCTGGAGGAGTCCAGATGCAGCAGGGCGCCGGAGCTCTCCTCCCCGGCTCTGGAGCTCTCCGGCTCGGCCGCGCGCACCGGGGCTGGCCCCTGAAGCTGCCGCTCAGGCGGGTCCTCCTCGAACACCAGCTTGAACTCGAACTCGCCATCCTCCCAGCCCGAACCAGAGCCCGGCGCGGCCCCCATCGCTCGTCCTCCGGCGGGCGAGAGGATGGGATGAAGATACAGGGATTATAATCCAGTAATCTCTAGTAAAAAAAAATWAAATTAAAAAATAATCCTCGGTGCGCCACGAACTTTAACTGAAGTGTCCCCAAACTGTCTTTTCAGCTTTCTTCCATCAGCGCGTCATTACGCAAAAATAATCCTCATCTTCAGGGGTTTCTGGATATTTGCAAAACTTTTTTTATGCATTTCGGTCCAAACTGAATCCAGAACTCCCAACATGCGTCTTTAAACCCGGTCCCATCGGTATCCCATGACTCCTGTCCCGTTCAGACCGAAAGGAGAGGAGAGGAAGGAGGGGGAGAAAAAAAGTTTATCAAATATTTTGTCCTTTACCCTTAATTGCCTTTGGGTGGGTTTCCCAGCCGGAGCTGGCCCGTTACTCATTCCCCATAGGAGTTTGGATGTGTCAATCATAAATCCGCCCCGCCCCCCYACTCACCCAGCCTCCCCTGCGTCACTCATCCTCCTCCTCCTCCTCATGTGGAGGTTCCTCTTTTAGCCACATTCGCTTCACATTTGCTTACTTCTCCCAGTCAATGTGGCCTTACTGTGTMTGTCTGTTAGCAAAATATCTCTTGCACCACTGGATGGATTTTATTTCAACTTTTCAATGGATTCTTATCCACTTCAAAGTTGCCACCAAAGCTTATCAACCTGGGCAAAAACAAAAATGGATGTAACTCAGTTGAGCTGGAATGAGAAGTGGTGGTAGCTGAGAGTCATTCACAACACATGCTCTGACATGATGATGATGATGATGATGATGATGATAATGATGATGATGATGAACAGAGGATGACTTTAAGCATGAAGCTAAGGCCAGGTTTTCTTAAATAAAAGTGCAGCTTATGTTTAGGTTTAAAACAACATGATACTTGGGCTAATCTCGAGCAGAAAACATGGCGGGCAGCTCTCCACCGGCTGCAGGCCACCAGGGCTGCAAAGTTAACTGTCAGTTACTGAACATCAGAGGACCTATTTCCTGTGGCGATGAACACCACAAACCCCCCCCTTTTTTGGCTGTCACTCTCCCCTCTCCTCCTC